TAAAGTAAATTTTAGTTCGGCGAAACAGGTCCTCATTTGTTTATCGGCTTCTTTTCAATGTCTACGCTGAACGAAAAGATACCAGAGGTGAACGAAGTAATAGTCACTCGTTGTAAGTTGCATTAGCCAAGTATATTTACTGTGTGGTGTATTTAATTACGGCAAAGCACACTAGGGCTATCTGCCAAAGGGGAGGGATGCCTTTCGTGGAGGACTTTCTAAGGGAAACTGGCTCGTATACACGTTACACATGGGGAAAACCACGAAAACACCCATGCAGCCAGCCCGTTCGCGGGATTCGAACCTCGGACCGAACTACCAGTGTTCAGCGACTTTACCGCTCGGCCGCTGGTGGGCACCCAAGTATATTTAAACATAGCGAACAGGGAAGCACACCAGTTAAAAGTTAACTGTTAGAAAATTAATGTATAACATCTAAAGGCAAAGTTGCACAGCGTCTATAGATATCGAGAACCGCATTCTCTAAGTGCCAATGATTTTAAAAATTAGAGTAAGCGATATTCTCTCAGTCGATAAATTATAAATTTTAATGGCAGAAATAATATTCACACAACAACATGCAATGTACATTTTGCACGCTATGGACTTGAGTACAGACACAGTTCCCTAGTAATGTGTCTTCTTGATTAACTATACAAAGCATTGGCTTACCTAAAGCTATTGCATTTCCATTCTTAAAGAGAATATTATTCATTAAAAAGATTGAAAGAAGATGTCTTCTTTCAATCTCTTTAATCTTTAAATCTATTGTTATGCGAATGGATTTCTTCCTGCTTCGACACATCTTTACTACGCACTTTCATAAAATGATTTAGTAGATCGTAATGATTGTATTTCAGATATAATTTTATGAAATTAAAGTAAATTTTAGCTCGGCGAAACAGGTATAATTAACACTTTTGTATCACATACATACACATCAAATGTAAATAATAAAATCGAGACTTGTAGCTGCTTCGCATTAAATAGCTTTCATTGTTAATTACCCGCTTTCGTTAGACACGCAATCCAAAAGGGGATTGTACAGATAAATATCATCAAATACAAGAACTTGAATGTTATAGTTTACATTAAAGCACTAATTTTTCTCTTTAATATAAATTACGTTGCTCTCAAGCATCGCAAATGTATTGCATTAATTAACGTGTAATATAGTTTTGGAGAGCTCCGAAGAAGAGTTTAGATAGCGTGTATTCTTCTTTTAAATTCCGCAAATCTCCTTTTAAATTCCGCAACTTGGATTTGCGCTCATTATTTGCATTCTTCATTCTTTTTTGGTCATGCCTTGTTATGCCCCTGTGCTTTATCTTTTTATATTACAATGAATACATGAAAAAGTTACGTATTTAAAAATATGTTATTGAGTTTTTAAGTATATTAAATAATAATTATATATTTTTGGCTTACATATTTTATATGATTTTTCCCTTACATCATGATATAGATTTATATCAGTAAACAATTAATTATCAAATTTATTAATAAATGTTTTGCGTAATAAAGTTAGTTACTGATATTTGAAACTGATAGCTAAGTAGGCTATCGATCCCTAATCGATCCCTTGTTCATCATTAACCCGCTTAAAAACTCCAACGGCTTGGAGGGGATTAATGCCAATTCGCTCTAGCAACCTGTATTTTACAGATTCTCCTTTACACGATTTTACACAAAAATTACGATTTAGTGCGATTACGAAATTACGATATACTATATATAGATATAAAACTGCAGACAGCCGCCGTAGATTCACATAACTTTATTACTGTATTACACAATTCTTTAGATGCCCAATCTATGTCCTCTCCAGATACTGGATATAAATAATCAACATTTTTGTTTATGCAAGAAATTATGATGCAGATTAATTTTAAAATGACGCAATTTAAAGACAGAAATGGGAAGCACTACGATTAAAATGAAGAATATAAGATGCTATTTCAGATTAAATTAAAAGTTTGCTTTATATGTTTTTATTATATATATATATATATATATTCGTATTATATATATATATATATATATAGTATATATATATATATACGTAGGTGAAAAATAAATAAAACATAAGTAATGAGCTTTTTAGCTTTAATGGTGATGAACTTCCACTAGACATGCATCTGCTACAGTCTGCTGTACCTGGTTACTTTTATTTCTTGGTGGTGACAAACCAGCTTGAGTGCAAAATATTAATTATACAATTTATCAGCCTTAAATTACGGCGATAAATGTATTCATCAAATGAGAAATCAATTAATTATCAACAAAAAATCTTATGAATTTGTTCACAAAAATCTTATGAACAGCTTCATGAACGTATAACTGCAAGAAAGTAATAGGACTGGTAGAGACATAATTCTTTTGGAAGTGACAAAATGACAGCCAGAACCTATGCGACACGGAATGGTTTTTATTCGGTAGCCAGTGTGGCTATGAAGGGCGGTGAAGCAGGTCTCTTTATGGCAAGGCGTACTGCAAATGCGGTATTCATGGACGCCTAGGTACTTGTTGCCGAAATACTTCAATCAATATGATGAGGTCCTGCATGGTAGCTGGAAAATAATGCCGCTCAGTCCGTTTGTACTCTACCAGCACTTCTATCTGAGCGACGATGCTCTAGCACCAGGTCAAGATTTTTTATTACATGCATACTAATGAAAATTCCTCTTACTACGTGCTGTAAGATTTTTGTTTAGTTGAACGCTGTCTCTAGAGCTCACTACTGCCCTGAGGCAACTACAGGACACTAAATTCCACATCACATATCTAATGCTATCCAGAATACTGGGATTGTTCACTATCAGCATTGGTGATGGAGTATGATGGTGATTGTGATGGTGATGGAGTCAAATCATATTGCCAGATATAAGACCAGGGTAACGCTCTGGCAAAAGCGGCTGGAGAATAACGGTAAGTCATTCAGCCACATATATACATGGAACGCATTCTGGAATATTATCAGATAGCATTTTTTCGAGCGGTTAGTAGCACACCTATTGTTGCTTGGTCGTGCATGTAATCCTACTTCATGCAACCAACTACTGATACTTTGGGTGGCTACTGACGTACCTTTGAAGGTGGCTTCGTATGTGATGTGCTGTTGCAATCGTGCCTTTACATGCCGTTTGGGAGATTTACCGTGTTGTACACTCCGTTTTATATTACTGCCCATCTGTTTCTACTCTGTGAAGCCAGACTTTTTTCCTGTGCTCTCTAAGTGTGCTTAAATATTATCAAATGGCACACCACTGAACACTTAGAGTGAATCCGTTTCTCTCATAGCAAGTCAAATAAGCTGTAGTAATCTGTAGTCCGATACCCGGGGAGACATGATCCCTTTCTTTCACATTGTATTCACACAGTATTAAGAATTTGAATCTCCGATACTTTTCTCGCGATTTCCACGTGGAAACTTTTCAACAGTTTCATTTTTTTATAAGTGGAAAATCACTCAGATTTCTCAAATAAAAATTATTTTTTGCATCGTATTTTGAAGTTTTCTCTCATAAAATATTTTAGGAATATTGTTCCTAAAGTTCGATGTGAAACAGCTTATTGGTTAAAAATTGCTTTATTTATCCAAGTTGTCTTGGCATGTCAGTGTTTCCAGTTTACTGGCGAAAATAAGTCTGTTCGATGACATCGTATTTTTATCAGTAGCATAAATCCACTTATGTAATTTATTTTATACTTTGTACTAGCATTTGGTGTTTTGTGTACCATATTTTGTCTCCTTCCTTGTATAACTTAAATTACGTATAGGAGATTCTGTATGAATTTGTAAGTCATTAGAATAAAGTGAATTACTGGAAAAAATTATTTAAAAACATTCATAAGAAGGTACTTCCTAACTGAAACGTTTGCGATATTTATTTTGAAATTCGATTATGTATTTAAGAATACGCACTAAAATTAATGTATTGAGGTATGTCTTATAAATTGTTATTTCGCTAATTACTTTATTTATTGTGAAATTAGTGCATGCACTGTGTAAGATAAGTATCTATAAGATATACACACATACATTCTGCATTTTAAAATCCCATATATCACATACTTTGCACCTAGAACAATTTAATATAACAGATTCTAGTCAATGATTAAACTACGAGCCGAAATTTTAAATAACGTCTTAGAAATGTACATCTTAACTATTATTATTTTTAGGCTCATTTTTGCATATAATTAGCCTGGGTAAGCCCACGTCGTTTTTCACTAAACTGATAGCAAAAGATTCGATTTAAATATTTGATTATCATTACATTTGTTGCTATTTTTGGTGTGTTTTTCATTTAGTTCAACATTCATAATATTGTTTAAATTGTTAAATCATTTCGTAAAGTGCATTGTATCATTTTGAAATTTAATTGGCTTTGTAAGGATGTATAGTTTTTAGTTTAATAACATATACTGTTGCTATAAGCTGTTAAACCACGAAAACGTATATTTTATAAAATGTTTTTCATTTATGGCCACTAGTGTATTTGATGCGGAATATATATTTTTAGCATCGGACAAATTAGAATAAATTTAAGTAAAAGCACTGAAAAAGATTTAGTTAAATGACAAGAACTACGTAATATATTTATAATATAGAAATAACACACTTAATTAAAACAAAATGCTCACTGTACTCATTTTGGGAAGTACAATTTACAATAAATTTACGTCAAAACGGAGGACAAACATTTCTGCATATTTTTACAATTACAGATATATATATATATATACACTTATTTTCAACAAATCTAATGTGGGTTTTTACGTCTAATTTTTTTTTAAGGATGCCTTTGCAGTATTGCGGTATTGATAATTGTGCTAAACCGGAAGTTTAAAAAGTGGAATCGATAATACCAAAGCTTTCTTATTAATTAAGTTTGAAAAAGGGAAATATATTTAATTTTTAATGACAAACTTATGAAAAATACAAAATTTTAAGCTGGCAGGGCGGGAAAAAGTAATACTATTTTAAAGCAACTTACGTTTTTGTAGAAAGTAAAACTCATGGCTGCAAACAAAATTCTCCTTTTCTTTTTCTTTGGAAGTGCTGCATGAAACGAAGCTCCTTGCATTACTATGAATAAATAATTTGTGCAGTTAGAGTGAGTATATTTTTAACTGAAACGTTAACTTAATAGATATTTTATTCAAGCGAAGGAGAAAATCTCTCTAAGATACACTTTCAAATATTAATATCTTTAACCATTTTCATAGGTCACCGTAAATATTACAAAATATGATGAGAAGATTCTTCTAGCAGGCTTTCTGGCATTCCTTTTTAAGGTTAAATTTAATGAAAAAGTACTTTGAGATATATGTGTAGAAATTTAAATACTTACACAAATAGATGGTTAAAGTTCCAAAAATCTAAATCAATATTATAAGAACCAGCGTAAGGCTAATCACTCGAAACTGGTGACTAGAAAACACAAATAAGTTTTCTTCCCAAACAGTCCTCTTTATTGCATCCACGTATTATTGAAGACATTTAATTTTTCTTTCATTAAACGAATTCATTAACATAATTCATAATTTTCATTAACATTTTCTCTTAAAATTCAAACCAGAATTATGGAAATGTGTGATCCAGAATGAAATCAGAATCTTGGAAATGTGTGATCTTCCATAGTTTTCGTTTATTGTTTTATCTATAGAATAGAAAACTGGCATTCTTTGATATATCCCCTAAATCGCCTATTATTTTAAGAATTAATTTTTAGAATTTAATAAGTGCTTTACGTGAATAAAACCCTAAAAATCGCACTTTTTATTTTATTCCCTTATAAGGTATTTCTCCACCTTCCTAGCGTGCCTTCGTGGTGTAGTGGTTCTGCACGCTGGGCCGGTATTCCAGAGGTCTGTGGTTCGATTCCCGGCGAAGGCGTTGCTAATTTTTCATCTTGCCTGTTTCCAAAAATACCTAATGTCTCTACAAGCTCTATCTTTGAATATAAAGAAAGTCAAATAGTCTGCCGTCAATTATAACAAGAGCCATGCAAAATATAAAAATCAAAACATAGCTGCAATAGCTTTCACAATAAAAATTTGTTAATCTACAACGGAAGAACTCGTGAAACATTTAATAAAGTAGAAATTTTCAATATTTTTCCTCTCATTCGATAACAGTAAATTTATTACCATTTAAATTAGCCATACCTTCTCTAACACACTGGGAATAGCTAGCGTTAAAACGTTAATATGAAAATTTCCTGTCATTTCAAAGTTTTCGCTTCGTTCAAAATTTGAAGAGGTTATGCATCAGTTACTGCACATAATGCGCAACTTTCAAAATTGCCCAGTTAAGTGACAATCATAGCTCTTGTTTTTAAACATTTATCAGAAGAGTTATCTTTTCAGTAGTGCACCAACAAATTCTCCTATCCCAATAAACTAGAAGTTTAAGTCACAGATGCCAGTAAACTCAGTTATTTTAAAAGCTGTATGTCATACGAATTTAATGATATACGCCAAGTTTACTGATCTGTTAAGGCGCAACGGGGTTGAAGGCAATAAGAGCTACGATTATTCTGCAAACTGTAGCTGACAAAGAAGAGATTTATTTTTAACAAGCAAAATTTATTTTGTGTATTTCAGTTTTCAATAGCCATTTATTTTAATACTTATTTTTCTTTACGTAAGTAAATATATTTCAGTGACACTTTTTATTCCAACAATGAAACATTGATAAATGACTTTAAATTTCGTGGTAATTTAGCTTCATACTTTTACATTATTTTCAGTACAAATATATTTTCACATTATTTTATTGGTTGTTCATTTAGCTCGAATGTGTTTACGCCTCTATAGCATATAAACAAGCGCGTGATAAATTTACGTATGGGTATTTCCATACCGTTCTTCCATACCGCTGTAATAGCAATCTATATTTCATTTATCTTGAAAAAAGAAATACAGTTTTTCAAAGTAACAAAAATTAAATTTCTTACACAAAATTACAGATGTAAAGTACAAATAATGAAAGAAGAAATGAGGAAAAACAGACAAGTATTTTAAATTAATAAAAATTGAATTTCTTACGAAACTAATAGATGCAATTTATTGCACAACAAATATGCAAATTCATAATATCAAAGTGCTAATTAATTTGTCATTGCTTACATCTCATTGGCAACTCATTGCATTCTCATTGGAATTAACTAATTTCCATTCACTAGTTAGTATATTCAAAATTTAACAGACGCTTTTTCACTCACTTAAGAACTCCACAACAATCCCCTTCACACACACCACGTCCCTCCCACGTACCAAAAATAGCTTTTCAAAGATTCACCGCCTGTAATAATTCGAAGTATCCTAACTGTTGATAACCGGAATTTCGGATAGTAGGACAGAGAAACCTAATTTGGACCAATTTTGTATTTTTCATTATATAGAAAGACGAAGAAGGGCCAATAAAAATTAAGTAGTAGAAATAAACTCACTAAGTATACCTTCAAAATAGAACCATTTATTAAATTCTAAAAATTATTTATAACGGTGAAAAATGAATTCAAAAAAGTTGTGTCATCGGTTCAATTTAGGAAACCGGTTTCCTTATTTGAACCGCTAGTTTCCTAAATTGGACCATGATCTTTCTTAACGGCAATTACAACAAAAGAACCTTTTAACTGCAGCACTAACTCCAGCACACCGAGTATGTATCCAAGCGTGACATTTAATGCATTGTATCATTTCTTCTTTCTTGGTTTCTTCACATAGTATACAAAACCATGAATCACCCGGTTCTTTTTTTATGTTTCTGCATTTTGTTAAACTTTGGAAGTTTTGGTATAACCGAGATTTGTAAGGGGCTGCTTGTTATTTCCACTGCTTTATGGGCTATTGGTGCACTGCGAGAAGGCGAAGGGCCAGTTGGGTTTTGATTTTTCTTTGATCGAGGTGATATTTTTTCAAGAACTGTCCTAAATCGCTTGTTTTCGTAATCACTTCTATCTTCATAATCATTACTAATAGAAGGTGAAACAGGGCTTTTGCAATATTTCTGCAATTAGCTTTTAAAATAAATTTTAAGCGCGCTTACCATACTTCGTCTCGGAGACGAATGGTTGCCATTCCCGTAAGTTTTTCGAAGGGTAGCATTCTAAGGTTAATTATAATTTATCCATGAAAAAAATGTCGTTGCCGAAATTGGACCGGTTCAGTTTCGGCAACTGTTTTTGGTCCAACTTGGGAAACTTGAATATTTAATGCTTGATACTGTACAGAAACGTCAAACTAACATGAAGCAAACGCAAAATTATAATTGCGAATTGTAGATAAATAGGCAAGTTTTGTGATGGTAAATTAAGACATGTAATTTCTTACGTATTTTGTAAGATTGCTCTTGTTGTCTCAAGAAATCTAGCTGTCGGTTCAAAGATAAAACCACGAAAGCGTCATTCGTTTAGCTCCTTCAACCGTCAGGAAGAAAACATAGGGGTATGTAACTAATGTTTCAGAGCATAAACTGTACGGTCTGTTATGGAGTTGTATTTCTCGTTTATCTGGAAACGGCAAAAAGCATTAGGGTTATCACCTACGTAAAAGTGCATGGGACACCAGAGACTTCAGTACAGAATCAAACAGGGATTTCTCTCCCTAAAGGAGAGATGCCTTCGTGTAAAACATTTCGAGAAAACTACTCGCAATGTGCTTGTATTATTCAACTTACATCTGAATACCAATATGCTCAATGAGGGTGTCATTCATATTAAAATGAAACAAATCTCTTGAGTAATTCGCACTAAGATTCTCAAACGGCGTAAAAAAATTACATTTTCAGAATAAATTTACAGAACCAATACAGACGGTCTCCAGGCAGTTTTATCATCTACTCCTTTTCCTTCAATGAAAATTAATCTTGCTATGGCCAATACAGAAATTGTAAATATAATTATGCAACAATTGGGAATTGTATCTGCAAAAAATAAACATAAATTATTTACTTTAATTTGTCAGCAAGTATATAACTAGGAAATGTTTGACTTCAATTATTTAACTCAAAAGACAACTAAGAAAAGCATAGTTTCTAAAGCGGCAGTCCATTAGTGGAAAAGTGAACAAAACATTTTGGCACTCAACTGAATATAACAGGTTGGAATCCTCGCAACTGAGTTGGCTGCATAGGAATTTTTTTTTTATTTTGTCCAGGTGTGAAATGAAAAAGAGCAATTTTAATTTCAGCTTTGAACGCAGTAATAGAGTAAACAAGAATAACCTAAAGCAGAATTAACCAATGATCGAGTGAACACCGAGTGCGGAACACTTTTGAACCCTGGGAATTTATCCTGGATTTAAATCCTCACGAGCTAGCTGATTTTATTGGACCTTTATGATTTTCTCCATCTTTAGTATCTCCCGTACTTTCTCCATCTTATAAATTAGAAAATCATGAACCAAGACAAGTTTTCCCTCAGGATATAGTCCTTGCGAGCTTTATCTTAATCAAGCAACTGACACATTAACATAATTATACCCCGAAGCACAGTTTAGCCAACTCTTAATGGGAACTCGGGAACAAAAACAAGTATTTAGATAATATTTCTTAGAAAATTATTTTCTTATCTTATATGAAATATCATCATTGTATTATGTTAATATTAAATACATATTATTATCAGCACACATATTATTTACAAACCAACCGTTATATATTGTGTTAATAATAATCAAATTATGGTTTGTTAATTTAATTACATCAAAGCACACATGAACTATCTGCTGAAGAAAAGATGTTTTGAGATAAACCTTTTAACCATTAAATGAACTAATTTTTATTTTTATTTTTAAAAGTCAAAAGTACATTAGAATTGATATCAAATAAAATAGGAAACGTACTGAAAAAAATTTTAACTAAGTGCTTATTCCAATTTTTGAAAAAAATATTATTGTTGTTGATTGGCTACATTATGCATTTAAACAAAAATTACAAATTATGAAAATTTTTAAAACAATTATTGTTTTTGTGCAGGCACAGTTCAAAACAATTTTAAAACTTTGAATACATCAAAATAGTAATAATAAACACAAAATCAAAAATTCGTAAATACAAATGATGTCCACATTTTAGACATT